GTGGAGTCGACCCCATGTGGAGTCGACCCCATGTGGAGTCGACCCCATGGCTGAAATTTTTTTTGAAGTTTTCCTAAAATTTTAATGACAATTTTGGAGCAAGTCTAGGATTATATTAGAAAGATCACCACTCCAGCATCACTACAATAAAATAAGAAAAAGAAAATTCAGAAAACAAGTGTCAATCACTTGTCAAACAAAGAACGTTAATAACTCTGATTATTGTTGTGACTGTATTTCCTTCCATACTTTGTTCAGTCAGAGGGATCTGGGAGTAGCTGGCTCTGAAGCCGGGGAAGTTCTTCTCCTCGCTGGTGACCAGAGTCAGCAACATGACGTTCCCAGAGGACAGGAAGGACAGGGAGTTATGATGGTATCCGCACTGTCTGAAGAGGGAGCACAGAAATGTGGAGTTGTTAGTGCTGAAACTTTATTTTTCCCTCTCATCTAACTCAGATCTGATCTTCTATAAAGTCCTTTTGAAAGTAGTACTTTAATAAAGTACTAGTTTGCGTCTCACTCTGTCAGGACTCGGGTCTCTATCGTAGCCAGGGAGTCGTAGATTTTGATGAAGTCATGTTGGCAGTCGTCCTCCAGGATCAGAGTGTGGAAGTCCAGTCGGACTCGGTGGCCGGGGTCGGCCCTCAGCGTCCACTGCAGGTAGACGTTTGGTGGGTACGAAGAGTCTGGAAACCCCGGAGACTGGACGATTCCCGCTTCTTTGACATGGATGTTGAACGACTTTTTCACTGAATATATAACAAAAAGAAAATGTTTTTTTCTGAATGCCGCTAAAATACCAATGCAACGGGATCTTATAACATACGTTTACATGACGTAAAGTTTTTGAGTCTTGTCAGATGTGGAACAGCACACAGAAGAAACAATGAGTTTCCAAATGCCTTATTGTGGGTTTTTTCTAATCTCCCTTGTTGGCTTGAGCCCCGGAATAACAGCTATATTTTTACATAAACAAAAATTCACATTTTTGTGATGTCACCTTCTGAGTGAATATAACTTAACCACAATTGAAAAAGGAAACTTTGAAAGCACAGCCACATATATTTAACACACTGGGATTGTTTCAGTCTCGAGGTTGAAGTGCCGGAGACTAGAACGATGCCTCTGTCCTTTTTTGGAATATCTTTACATCAAACGAACTTGATATAAACATAAAACTAAAACACATAACTTCTATTAATAGGAATAAACAGTTCTCACCAAATAAAGTGGTCCTTGTCATGCGTGGGTCTATAGCTGTGAACAGAAAGATAAACCAAAAAAACTCTTTATTTAAATAAAATGTATGTTGTTTCCAAAACATTTAATACTTTTAATTTTATATTTATAGTTGCCCGTTTAAATCTAATATTAGATATAATAATTAGTGCTTATGAAACAAATTGAACATTTTAAAATCAGACTTATATTACTTAATATTTACAACATCTCTGTTCTTTGTTGGACAGTGTATGTCCTCTGTGCTGCAACACTGCCACCTGCTGGTCACTGAGTTATAAACCTCTGCAGCTCCATGAAATCACTTCTTAACATTCCTGCAGGGCATTTATTAGTTAAGTTCATCAGTATAAAAGCAATGTCCTACAATTCTGACACATTCAAGCTCAATATTTGTGATTTACACAATCCATTTTGGAACTTATTAACCTTTTATTGACCCTTGATCCCTGACCTACAGCTTGACATGACCTACATTTTGAAGAATCTGCAAGGTTGTGATATACAATGAGACGTCAGCAGGAGGTTTGTTTGACTGTTTGGTAGGCGAGGCAGCTGGACTCGCAAGATCACAAAATCGCTATCAGCTATTGGGGTGGGTTTGTTAAACACCACTGCAGCTGCTGAAGCGGTTAATGATGGTTATCATTGAAATGTCTGAGCGGTCAGACCTCGTGAGATGACGCTGTTGACGCTCAGAGGGTCGGTGGGTTTCAGCAGCACTCGTCCGTGTCGACCCTGCTGACTTCCTGCCGGCGGCTCCAGAGATTCGACGGCTTCGTCCAGCGAGGCCTCCTGGTTGATGTGGACGTCAAACTCTGACTGGTAATACGCCACGATGCCGTCACCTCCGCCGTCTCCCTCACTACAGGAACACAGATTAGCGTCAGTTCTCATATTCATATAATATCATATGTTAGATAACAGTATAGATAATTTAGGAAAATGCTGTTATTCTCTTTCTTTCTGCAGGTGAGATTTTCAGATGGACATCAGTCTCATGTGTTCA